ATAATTAATTTCAGATGCTTACTGGGGTGACGTGGAACGTCACTCTCTGGGGGGGAAGGAGTCAGAGCCTTTGTGCGGCAGGTGGAGCGTTACCAAGTTGGATCTGGTTGGCTCACCCTCTAATGCCACAGCGTCGGCTCCTGGAACCTTACTTCTGATGGGTTGGAATCCTCTATTCTCCTCCGAGTTGCTCAAGGTGTGGAGGCCAGCCGGGCGCCTCCATCAAGTTGGACCCTCCAATCTGATGGAGGTGTTAGGGGGCGTTGGACAGGAGCATTTGAGGACTCCCTGAAACCCGACAACTCTCCGCCTCTATCGTTTAGAGCCAAGAAGCTGGAAGTATGACGCGGGGGATCAACACCTAATCTCCACCGGGGGAGGTCACTGAAGGTCGTCAAACAACTCACAGTGGCAAAGCCGGGGGTGGATCAGATCCGCCCAGAAATGGCGAAGGCTCTGGGTTGTGAGGGACGTCATGTTGACACGTCTCATCAAAACCGTTGCGTGGAAGGTCGGAAACAGTACCCGAAGGATGTGGCAGACCCGGGGTGGTTGGTTCCGCCTTTTTAAAAAGGGGGGATCAGAGGGTGTGTGCCAATTAACAGAGGCACTCACACTACTTCAGCCTCCCCCGGGAAAGTTTACTCTAAGGTAGCCGAAAGGAGGGTTCAGGCCATTGTCGCCACCCCAGAATTGAGTGAGGAACCAATGGCGGATTCCGTCTGAGTGGGTCGTGCGGAACGACGGAATCCAGCGGCTTTTACTCCTTCGGGTAAAACCAAAAAAGATCCTGGAGGGGGCCTGGGAGTACGCTTATCCAGTCTACAATGTTTGTAGAATAGCCTTGGAGAGAGGGCGTATGAAAGCGGGTTCCCAGGAGTCAGCTGTGGATGGTGCTGTCCGGGAGTATGGGTGACCGGGGTCTCTACTCAGGGGCGCATGCCAATCTGCTGTACTCCCAAAGCAATGAGCTGTGTCCCGGGCACGCTCGGGGCAGTAAGTCGAGCGCCATCTTCAGGTGAGGGTGGACTCGCGGCCAGGGCTTGCGCTTTGTCACAATCCTGTTTGTCAATATACAATGGATCCGGATTTTGAGGCGTAGTAAGTGGGCGGGGGTGCTGGCAGTAGTCCGGTTTCACAACTAGCCCAATATTACTCAGTCGACTAGTTTTTTTCAAATAGTAGTCGACTAGTCGACTAGTCGTTACGCTCATAATAACAGACACACAGCAAAGAGAGGTTTACAAACTGTATTTCTATTGGCAACCTCATGACAGTAAGGCATTAAACACTCCGCTTTAAATTTGTGTTACATGGTCTGAGTAATAACAAACACTGGACTCACCAAAAATCGACAGGCAAAAAACTCCTTGTTACGTAAAATGCCACGTAAACTCGCAGTGCCAACCAGCGCATTGCGCAACACTTTATTGCTGTCCGCTCCACGATAACGTCCAGCCTTCCATATTTTTGGTTTGAAACAACCAACGCACTGAGCATGTGAGGAGAATGGAGGCTTGAGCGCGCTTTTCGGTGACAGTGTTGGCCTGCCAGAGGAAAAAACCTCTCCACTCGGGGTGGGCTTGGGCTGGAATAAGCCAGGTAGCTCCTCGAAAGCGGGGGAGGGCGGATGGCTCTCACCACCAAAAACACAACAACGGAGGAGGAGGAAAAGAGGAAAGAGATCCGCTTCCCCCGCTTTCGAGAGCTACTGCTATTCCAGCCAAGCACCCCGAGTGAGAGGGTTTTCTTTTCCTGGCAGGCAACACTGTCCAGCCCCGAAGCGGTCAAGGCCTCCTTCCTCCACATGTCGATGCGTTGTGTTCAACCAAAAAAATATGAAAGGTGGACCGTTATCGTGGAGGACAGCGAATAAAGTGTTGCGCAATGCGCTGTTGCGCACTGGATTTACGTGGCCATTTATGTAAACAAGATTTTTTGCTGTCGATTTTGGTGGTCCAGTGCTTTGTTATTTACTCAGCGCAATGTAAGCACAAATTGAAAATGCAGTGTTTAATGTTACTGTATGAGTTCCAATAGAAAATACAGTTGTAAACGCCTCTCTTTGTGTGTCTTTATTATGAGCGTAACGACTAGTCGACTAGTCGACTACTATCTTTGGAAAAAACCTAGTCGGACTATGTAATATTGGTAGTTGTGAAACCCCTACTGCCAGACCGCCCCCCACGACTAACAGGCCTCAAAATCCGATCCATGTATATTAGCAAACGGATTGGTGACAAAGCGCAGCCCTGGCGGAGGCCAACCCTCACCTGAAATGGGTCCGACTTACTGCCGAGGACCCGGACACAGCTCTCGCTTTGGGAGTACAGAGATTGGATGGCCCTGAGTAGAGACCCCCTCACCCCATACTCCCGCAGCACCTCCCACAGTGACTCCCTGGGAACCCGGTCATACGCCTTCTCCAAGTCTACAAAACACTTGTAGACTGGATAAGCGTACTCCCAGGCCCCCTCCAGGATCCTTGCGAGAGTAAAAAGCTGATCCGTCGTTCCACGACCAGGACGGAATCCGCATTGTTCCTCCTCAATCTGGGGTTCGACAATCGGCCTGACCCTCCTTTCGAGTACCTTAGAGTAAACTTTCCCGGGGAGGCTGAGTAGTGTGATGCCTCTGTAATTGGCACACACCCTCTGATCCCCCTTTTTAAAAAGGGGAACCAACACCCCGGTCTGCCACTCCTTCGGTACTGTTTCCGACTTCCACGCAACGTTGATGAGACGTGTCAACCATGACAGTCCCTCAACACCCAGAGCCTTCAGCATTTCTGGGCGGATCTCATCCACCCCCGGGGCTTTGCCACTGTGAAGTTGTTTGACGACCTCAGTGACCTCCCCCCGGGAGATTGGTGTCGATCCCCCGTCATACTCCAGCTCTGCCTCTAACATAGAGGGCGGAGTTGTCGGGTTCAGGAGTTCCTCAAAGTGCTCCTTCCAACGCCCTAACACTCCATCAGTTGAGGTCAACTGATGGAGGCGCCCGGCGCCTCACACCTTGAGCAACTCCGGAGAAGAATAGAGTCCAACCCCTATCCAGAAGTAAGGTTCCAGAGCCGACGCTGTGCATAGAGGTGAGCCCAACCAGATCCAACTGGTAACGCTCCACCTCCCGCACAAGCTCTGACTCCTTCCCCCCCAGAGAGGTGACGTTCCACGTCCCCCAAGTAAAGCATCTGAATAATTATTCCACCGTGTGTGTGCATTTAAAAACAACTTGAATAATAAGGAATATTCAATTCTGAAATCAAAGTTGAAATATACGAGTAAAAAATATAGATATTCTCCATGATTACAGTGTCAAACACGCAAGAAAAAAAATGATAAATTTAGGAAACAAATGCAAAAGAAAATATGCAAGAATATCGCCATGTTCCATTATGTTGATTCTTGAAAAGTGTGCAACGTTGTCCCTTGACAAGAACAAACTAAATTGTTCTCAAAACTTCCTGAAATTAAATAAAGCTTTCTCTGGCTTTTCTATTTGTTGACTCATTTATTTTGTATGCAACCTTTCCACTTGCATCAAACACCCAGTTACATACATAAATTGAGCAACTGACCAAAACCACCCAACAATTGTCTTCATCAGTCACCTTATCACCTCTAACCTCAGTCTGGTAAACTGACGGGATATTTATATTGTAATGTTGTTTTTTGAGGAGTGAAGCGCTGTTTGCAATCATTCTTTTACCACTGTGTGGTAGCAGAGAGACAGTAGGTGGTCCGTGTTCATGGGAACTTTTTCTGTTTTGTTTAATGTGGCCAAAGTGAAGTCAATGGCATGAGGTGATGAGGGACACAATAATATTTGAATAAATTCACATCCAAACAACTCTGACATTCTTGTAAGACATTGTATGAACACATTGTAATTTAGCGTCCCTCTGGCTCTTTCAGAACTTTCACTCCTGTTTTTTTTTGCATTTTAACAATAGTAGGCCTATCATGAATTAAGAAGGCTGTATTCTTCAGAGTTTGAACCATATGTTTCATATATTTTGTAGGGGATGCACCCCTTTGAACTTTTTGAGAACAGATTTTTCACAAAATGCAATGTTTCAGAGTTCTCAGCCCAAAATATTTTCCCTAAGATCTAAAAAAGAAAGTATAGTGTTGCTATGGTAGCCAACACATACAAACGCGCTACAGCAGAGCAACACATTTCCATTAGGAGAAACATTGGACTCTTTCCACAGATTTACACAGTATTCCTCCTTGCCAAACATTAGCTGACCTTTCCTTCCCCTAAGTGACACATGCAGAAATGCATTCACACAAAAAAAGCTAGTTTAGACAAATCTGCTGTCAGGTTTAGATTCTGTATTTCCTTTGTGTGAACATCCAGTCCCTTCCAACAATCTCCTGAGGACGACCATCCAGTTACTATTCGCCAGACATAGAATCTGTCCGGAGATGTTGGAAACTCATAGTAAGTGCTTGCTTTTGGTCCAGCATGCAGTTCCCACACACAGCCTCCAAGGCTCATTTCCAAACTGTATTTACTACTGGCAAGTGTACATTAGGCCTGGATAACTTCATACTGCAGGCTCTTGGTAACCAGCCAACAGAGCATGGAGAAGGGCTGAAACTAAGCACTAGGAGTGGGGGGTGAATCATCCTGCTCAGTATAATGTTGAGTTATAACAGTTTGTTTGGGTGATCATTCAAGATTTGAATTGTGAAGTGAAGAATAGTAGTTTAATAAGATTCCCATGGGATTATATATCTTTTTTTTAAATGGCTCCTAGCAAGAAATCCAGAAACTAAAATATGCATGCAGGTTTTTGGAATGAGAAGATACGTTTCATGCATATCCAGTACATGTAGCCTAGCTTAAATCAAAGGCTGGGTTTAGCTAAAGGCTACGTTCTACACAGTAGTAAGCTACCTGTGTACCTCTACTACTTGTCTTTAGGCTAGGGTGACCAGACGTCCCCGTTTTCCGGGGACAGTCCCCGTTTGTATTGGTCCCCGTTTGTATTGGCCTGTCCCCGATTGAAACTGTCCCCGGAAATGTCCCCGTTTTTTAATATACGTTAAAAACACATACAGTAGCAAGTTGAAATAAAATGTTTCATGTCAGGAAACACTGGGTAAACAGACTGTGGTCAAACGGGTCAAACCAGTCCCCACTTCGGAAAACACAGTCAAGCAAGCCCGCACATTGAATTGCAGTGCACAAATAGATAGAGGCCTTTAAAAACTGCCTTCAAAATAAAAGCGTTTACTCGGTCAATAACAAATATACCTAAAAAACACACCAAACACATTCATATATACTGGAGCTTAAATTAAGAAATATGTACTATACAATGTGATCAATAATAATTTAAAACAAACTACGTATAACTACCACATTATAACTGACTGAGTGAATGCAAAATGTAAGTATACAGTTATGAAGACATATCTGACATTTCCACTGGGTGACTAATTTCAATTGATGTTGACACCATCTCACAACACTCCTAAAATAACATTACTTTCTGAAGCACAGAAAATGTATGCTGTTTAAAATCTCAAATTAGATCTATTGTCCATCTATATTTTGATTATTATTTATTTAATGGAAACCGTCCATAATCAAAGAGTTATTCGAAATCAATCAAATACTTATTTCACTTCAGGGTGATAGCAGGAGACCCCATCTAGTCAATCAGAGAAAATCAGGACAATCTGATGAAGAATTTCAAAATAAAANCAGCCACACACACACACACACACACACACACACACACACACACACACACACACACACACACACACACACACACACACACACACACACACACACACACACACACACACCTTAAGTTGATCCAGTGCACTGAGAGGAACATGAGACGTACCAGCAGCGATGATCCACGGATCTACTCCCACTTTGGAGTTCTCTGGCAGGATGCTGATCAGCCAGTCCTCCTGAGAGGGTGTCTCCTTCAGCCCTAAATATGATTGTTTTTAAACAACATGATCACACTCAAAGACAGCAACATCAAATGTGCCAGATTCATTCCAGTGTTTACAGTCGCTATTAAGATACATGTATGTTTAAAAAAAGCCTTTGCACTTAGGATGATCCTGTTTTTTTTAATTCTTACCCATCTTCATGAGGCTCCAGTTGTTGTCCATCTGCTGACTGGCCTGGAGGAAATATCTCCCATCAGTCCACATTGCAGCGTGTTGCTCTGTGACGATGGCTGTACCTACACGACACAACAAGCAACGCACAATTAGTCTTACCAATCACAGAGGCTTTTGTTTTGGTTTACTTTATCCAAATGTTTACAAAAAATGTAAATCTAAAAAAATCTGTAATTTGAATTAAGGCAACACTCAGTTTTATTAGGTTGCCTGCAGTTAAAACGTTTGCCCTTTGATCTGATACTATTATAGTGACACATGACCAGTCTAGTACTCTGTTTCTTGTTTGATGTGTCAGTACAGTAAGAAGCTGGTTTCGGTCAGTTTTTAAAAGCAGAATAAACAGCAGCGAACAAAGATTGAGTGAACACTCCTTCTTTCTTTACAAACTGTGCTGTTTTCTCAGAGGGATTTGTTCCAAAGTAGGTCACATCCCTAAAAGTACACCTTATATCATAAAAATCTGAAAGATAATTTACTGTACTAACTATGTTGAACATGAGACGATGCACTGGGACCTGGACGGTTGGATGCAAGTTTATTTATCCTATCCTAAAACAAGAAATTAGCTAGGATTTGAACTGGATGAAGCAAACCATACCTGCAGAGCCATTAAATCCGCAGATAAATTCACGTCTGCAGTCACTCGGTGCAATGTATTCACTCTGAAAGACATGGGGGCAAAGAGAGAGAAGGAGACAGAGAGAGAGAGAGAGAGAGATCAGCTTCATTTACAATCAGTGTGAAGGGGCATGTCAGACATTTTTAATGGCACCTTGGCTGCTCTTCTCACATCGTGTCGTGTGCATAGAGGGCAAAAGGGAGGAGCAGTGGGTAAAGGGCTACAATTAATTTTCAAGGTTAGAAAAGACGATTAAAAGGGAATCACAACACACACAATGAGACAGGAGCTGCAGCAGCTCGGCTTTGAGCTGGTGCATGTGTGTCTGAGTTTATCTTTGGGGGTGACTTTATTGATGTTTTAAAGCAGTCAGTGTATGTTTATGTGTCAGTGAAGAAGAAATAGCCATCGCATATTATTTATCCTAAAGCTCTACTGTTGAAGCTTCTAAACTAACTTACATCCCTTCTCCAATGCAATGTTACTACAGTACACAATCCAGGAACTATTAACCTAATGGTGGCAGAACTACAAACTGCATTCAAACAAGTTTACTTATTATCTGTTTCATGATTCTTGTGGTTGAAGTTGTGTCTTCTTTGCTGATGTGTTCATGTGATGTGTTTTTTTAATCTACCTCAATAAAACCGCATGATTAAATTAAGATGAATTATAATTTAAAGAATTGTGTGATCTCACTTACCTGGTGTGCATCTCCAGAAGGGACGATGTAGGCCTGTATGGGCTCAGAGAAGTATTTAGAATTTCTCATCGCCTGCCGAAGTTGCCTGAGCAGCTCTCCTGTGATCTTTGGAGACATGGCTGAGTCTAAACGAAGAAAGAAAATTACACACTTATTTAAGACATAAAACCATGTAACAAAACGCCCTTACACTAAGGTAAATGTCCTAGCTTAACATTAAAGCTGCTGGGATTGAGTGCAGAAAAAAACACCTATGCAGTTATGATGTGAATACAAACTTGAAACACAGTAATTTCCCACAACTACCTTTATAAAAAAAAGAACAGATATGTGCCTTGATCTATTGTTATTCAAACCCACCCCAATTACCCATAGATTACCTGACTTTTGGGAAGTAATGTTGATTTTAGGTGCCAGGAGCAGGACAGTGTCTACCTGACTATTAACTTGGAGCTCAAAGTCACAGTCCACACCTGGATCTTTAACCTGCTGTAACATGATGATTCAGCAACTGTCACATTAGTTAAATATTAAAAGAATAGACCCATTGGGTGGTGACGGTAGGTGTATTAACTATTTAAAATGTGACAAAGTCCGGAAGATATTGTGCAGTGTCGAATTTATCAGCATTCACAATAACTGTATAGTGACATAATTGCTTTGAAAGAACTTCCGCGTGCCGACCAATCACCTTGCAGTATTATTCATCGAAGAGCTCTCCTATTGGCTTAACACGCATGCGATTGTTGTTTACAAGTAGGCATAAGAAGAAGTAGCATTTATGTTCACTAATATGCTAGCTAACTAGCTTGAATACAGTGTAACATCTCATAATATTCTGATAATAAACGGCAAGCTATGACGATATTTTGTATCCACACATCACTGTTATCAACAGGCCATCCAAAACACACAGTAACTCGTTCATTTAGCGAGTAGCTGTGTGCTTTAGTAGTGGCAACAAGACAATAGTCTATCTGTAAAGTTGTGAGCTGATTTCAGATATATTTCACATAATGTCACAGTTTGACAGCTCTGAGTGAAGGCTTTTTTCCCCACTTTGATAATGGACGTTACAGACACAGGCGTGGTGAACCACAGTCAACATCCCGCGGTGCCACGTTTTCTCCCCCTAACCACCGCTAGCTAACGTTTACGTCCCCCCCTCATGCCGCCAGTGAAATGCTGAATACACACCCGGTGGTTTCCTCCTAGAACTGTGATTATTGGGCTAACAAACGATGCGCTTCTGTACCAGCCTGAACCTTGTGTTAATATACAAAACAGGAGGCTGCCATTTCTTTGTTGACGTTTGTGGTCACGTGACTGCAGCTCCTTCCAGTAGAGGCAGCGGGATCCAGACTCGACTCAGAAAAAAACATACACTGAACAATAAAATAACCCATAATCTATGATTATCAATACAATTATTATTCATATAGCTACTGCCACTTTGCAGGGAGACTTAAACACTGCACTTGAGTATAGAAACGCAACACTACTGGAAGATCCGCAAAACGAACAAAAGGAGTAAGATATACATTTTATTACATCAAATAACACCATTAAATATGAGTTTTTTTACTTTACTTCCTTGTTTCTATCCTTGTTGTCTCTTGGTAGCCTACTTGTAGCATATATAATTATTGTGTCTATTACCCAAGCTAAATACAACGATATTGCCTATGCTATTCCCTGCATTAACAGAGCTTCATGTCTGTTATTATGATAACTCAATTTGTCAATTCAAATCATACATAATATATACAGTGTAGATGTTGTGTATTTGGCAGATAAAGGTGATTCTGAACAGTTTTGTTATTTAATTGACTTATCTAATGACCATTTCAGTGTTGTCAATGTTGGTTTAAGGCTAATATGCTACTCTTTGGTAAGTTTAAAGACCTCTGTTATGTCTTTTTGTATTTTTTTTAAATTAATTTGAGGTTTTAAGTACCCCACATTCCCCTCAGTTGCAAATGTTAAGAAATAATACGTTTTCAATAGATAGATTTGCATGCCCTGGTTATGCTTAGTGTGCTCATACATGTATTCATGTCCTAGGTTGATGGGTCTAAATAAACAAAGAAAAACAACTCATAGAAACATTATTGCATTTTATTTACAATTTTCCAAATATATACAAAATATGTTGACATGAATATATGGATAATGCATAATTGAAGAAGAAAAAAGTCTGGATATCTGAAAATGTACCGCATTACCTCCCCCGATCAACAGTGAATAAAGATTGAGAGCTATTTGTTGCGTACACAATTATGTTTCAGGGCTACACTGAACAGTTGGGGAAGTTGCCTTAAATTATTGCTACAAAAAGTAAGAAGTAGGTATTATTTGCTTGTTAATAAAGCAGATGCCATAGTACCATTTGGTGGGCTACATTTCATAAACATATTCACAGTTTTACAATATGTGGATCCATGTGGCGTGCTGATGATACATGTTGTGGCAATTTCTTTGAGCTTTTAATAGACTGTAGAGGGCATCAGGAAGGTGGCAGCCAACATCAAGCCCAGGAGAAAACTTCCTGGCATCGACAGCGGACCTGCACTCCCTGAGGGCATCAAATCAGAGGTGCGAACAAGTTCATATGTATTCATTTATCGTTGCGGTTATAATAATCTTCAAAGGAGTGGAACTCAGTGGAAGGAGCAGATTACTCAGAGCCTAATCTACGTATCAAATAATTAAATCAATATTTGTTTGAGGTGATATTGATATCTTGAGACAAATGTGTTATTTCCGTACATAATAATGGCAGCCCACTGCTCCTAACACTAGGATGGGTCAAATGCAGAGAAACCATTTTGTTACTAGTAACTGTACTATGTAATGACAATAAAAGTTCCAAAAAAAAGAAGAAAGAAAACATTCAGGTTATCCATTTACGTAGGTATTTATGCTACTAGCTTTGTCTATTTGCTTTTGTAGATCTTTCCTAAATAAACCAAAAGATAACATTAGGTCGTGCCTGATTTGCATAGTTTTAAAGATAACATTCAATATTCCTTTGTGGTTCAGGAATATCCGAAATTCCCAATATAAAATGTAATAATTATATGTAATATGTCAACAAAATAAAGGAGGTATCTTGAAACTGATTTATACAATGTTAATTTTTTCAGAAAGGATTGCAAATGTGCAAATATTTAAACATAACATTTCTTAAAACTAGGGCAAGTTTCATTGTGTGAAGTTCAACACAGGACTTCTAAATGTAGGTCTCCCTTAAATAAAAAACGAATTCACACTGTGAGTTCATTGTGTGCCTAAAGTCTATTTATAGCTATAATTACAGTATGGAGCTTACTTACTTGTGCATGAGTCAGACTCTTTGAACATGCCCATCTTCTCGCTGGTTTTGACAGATTTCAGAAGTTCTGCGCTGACATCTCCTTAAATTAGAGACAACATGGCAATGCTTAATTACACACAGACAATATAATTACGTTAGTGTGAGGCAGTTATGGACTTGCTTTTCCTTCACTAAGTCAGATAATAATAGATCTAAAATGCTGCAGTGCATTTCGAATGTTTCAGAAATAACAAATTACAGTTTTTAAGAAGGTTTGATCGTTTTGCACATACTTTTTTGCTTCAGACAGGGATAAAGTGCCGTTCATTTAATTTATTTGTTATCCTACCAAGCAAAAAAACATGATCTTTTTCACACATTCTCATCTGCATGCTGTCTGAAAACGCTCCGTTGTGCATCTCTCTGCTGTTTTGAACTCCACAATAGTAAACTCTTCACCTGGTGGGAGACTTGTGAGGGCATAAATGCGTGTCCTGTGCTATACTGTGTGAAACCCCCGTACAGACTCTTCTCTGTTCCCCCCTGAGACAGAGGAAGGGACAAAAATGAGACACACAGACACTCAACTCCAGCGTCAGGTTACTGAGCAATCTTTCAGGTTTTCTGAAGATTTTTCAATGCCCGTAATTGTTCATTGTCCTGATGACCACAGCCTGGGCACACAGCTTGCCCCACATTGGTCCTACAAGTCTGAAGCAGTGTTTACAGGCTTACATGCTGCACACAGTCTGAAATATTGAGATTATACCAAACACACAAGGAGCTTTGTGTGTTTGTGAATGCAGTCCTGGCTCAAAGGTGCCAAACCTTCTTTGCTAAATCAGCTCCTATGCTATTTTGTTTGTCATTTTCCCAAGTCCTCTTTTGAGTTTTGTTTATTGATTCAATAATTATAATGGCATTTTGAGAACAAAAAAGAATGAGGTGCCAAGTTTCATGGAAATGAGTCATATTCTATTTCATCATCGTCTTCTAGAAAAACAATCTTTTTGATCTCATGTTATGTCTTTGGAAGCGATCTGATACCTACTCGACACATTTTGCTGCTTGGCCAGAAGCCCATTGCTTCAGTTTCTTCATCTGTCTTATTACAGTATAATGTCTAGTATAAGATCAGGGTGTGGGTTAAAAGATTAAGGACCTAATGTCATGTGACAAAACTCGTTACTTAAAAAAATGAATTTCTTTTAAGCATTAATGTCTCCTGCATGGTTTATTTGGACAACAACAGTCAGCATCAATAAGTCTGCTCATTAAAATGCCCTAACCCCATCACAGGACATTTCTTGGAGAGGTGAGATGAGGCAATAGTCATCACTTCACCAAAGTTTTGTAACCTACTACTTAAATATTATTGTTGCAGAAGTGTATTGGATCATATTAGAGTCCACCAAACTAACTTATTAAAGCTAGTGGTGTCTGTTAAGTATTTGAATCGCATGGTCAATGGCTAAAGAATTGAGTATTGATTTTGAATAGATTTTTCGTGTAAAAACGAGGAAGAGTATCAAATATTCCTTCACTCGCTTCCTCAAATCACCTTTACTCATGTTTCTGTTTTTTGTGAAAGCTAATAATTCTCTTATCTTGTAAAATGAGACATACTGTTGTGTATAAAGTGGAAGGGTTTCTGCCTTACCGGACACCATGTAGTTGACTTGGCTGCACTTTCCTTCAGCTGAAGATGGGTTAGAAGAAGCTGAAGAACCGGGCAGGATGGTGACTCTCGCTGTCTCCAACTGCAGGACATCTGCCACCCTGCTACGGAAGTCATATCTAGGCAAAAATGAATTAGATATCGAGTTTGTAGTAAAAAATAAATCGGATAATAAACAATAGATACTAGCTAATAAACCATTTCCAGTGCATTTTATACATGTTGTTTATTTCAGATGCATAATGTCCTTATATCATATTTGATCAGCCTCGCTTTTAAAGAAATGCGGCGTTTTGTGAAATGCTGTGGCGTTTTGTGAAATGCTGTGGCGTTTTGTGAAATGCTGTAGTGTTTTGTGAAATGCTGCGGTGTCTTGCACTTCAGGGCCACCATACTAAATAGATTAACAAAACTGAGACTCAAAACGCTCAAAAAACGATCTTTCTATCTTTTTCTGTTTCACTATTCATGTGTGTGCTGTATATTTGAACTCCCAATTAATGATGTTTTACGTTCTGTCATAGGCCTATTAGAAATTCACCAATTACGGATATATATGGTGCACTGAAGACCATTTTATTCTGTATGCATAGAACAGTTATCGTCCAAAGTAGGCAAGAAAATGGTACTTGTTCTGTACTTAATAATATTGTTCTTCACCTAAAGGTATACACTGCAAAAGTGAATAAAATAAGATGTAAATGAGAAGAAATTAAAATTATCTTACTCCATGTACTGTGAGAACTGCTCTTGTTTAAATTGCTCAGCAGGTATTTACAACACTTGTGTAGAATTTGTTCCCTGATCACCCAACCCTGTTTGTTCTCTCCGGCACGCTTGCCAAGAGATTAAAGATACAATTCAACGAGAAAGGTTGATAACCATCAGGGCAGTTTTTATTTCACTCACCTGCTGAATTGAGTCACTGTGGGAAAGATCTGCTCTGCTGAAGGGGATTCTGGGAGGATGTCTGCACATGCCATGATACTGTTTCCGTCCTTCAGCACTACAGATCTGTAGACCACTGCAAACACAGTTAAACATGAACTTTAACAACAACGTTTTTTGGAAATCTTCAATTCTAGCTCCTGCTAAATACACTCTTGGGGGTAAAACTGCATCACATTGGCACCTGTGTCGTCTCCAGAGAGCTTGATGATGCTGTCAGTGAACAGCTGTCCCTCACTCAGGCTGACCTGGCCTTGTCTCGCTGACACCTCTCCCACCACACAGCTCAGAGGGTTCAAAAGGGAACAGCTGGAGCTCTGAAGGGGGAATAGAAAATGGGAAGTGAATTACATGTTAACCACAAGAGCACAATGTTCATGTTTT